CCCATCCCTTAACTAGAGGATATGATAGACATGTTGGCCAGTTCCAAAATCTTTTCAAAAATTGATTTAAGGAGTGGATATCATCAAATTCAAATAAGGCTTGAAAATAAATGGAAAATTGCTTTCAAAATAAAAAAAGGTATATATGAGTGGTTGGTAATGCCGTTTGGATTATCTAATGCTCCAAATACTTCCATACGGTTAATGAATCAAGTACTTAAATCGTTTACTAGCAACTTTGTTGTAGTATACTTCAATGACATATTGATTTGTAACCGGTGTAAATCTAACCAACTTGAGCACTTGAGAAAGCCACTTCTATAGTTTTGTAGCAGAACAAATTATATGCTAATTTAATGAAGTGCAAATTTATGATTAGCAATTTATTATTTTTGGGATTTATTGTGAGTGCTGACGGGATTAAAGTCAATAAAAAAAAAATTCGAATCATTCAGGATTGGCCTACCATAAAAAATATCAACGAAGTGCGTAGCTTTCATGGTTTATCCACATTTTATCGATGATTTGTCAGGGATGGGATTTTATTTGAATTGTCACACCTATCACTGAATGTATGAAAAAAGGGAAATTCCATTAGGTAATCGAAGCAAAGCATAGTTTTGCACTGATTAAAGAGAAGTTATCTTTTATCCTAGTTTTGGCATTACCAGATTTTGATAAATTATTTGAAGTGGATTGCGATGCTCATATCATTGGCATTGGTGCTATTCTATTTGAAGAAGGCAGACCCATTGCATCTTATAGAGAGAAACTTAGTGAGGCTTGCCAAAACTGATCCACCTATGAACTTGAGTCGTACACTTTATTTCGAGCTTTGAAAGTTTGGGAACATTACTTAATGTAGAGGAAGTTTATCCTATTCAGTGATCACCAAACACTAAAATTCATTAACAGTCAGAGTAATATGAACAGAATGCATGCTCGTTGAGTTGGCTTCTGTTAGGTTGGTTGCCATTTCATGTAAGGCATAAATCATTGACCATTGACTATTAGTAGCCACCATTGTTGAATGAGCTAGAGTTGGTGGCCACCAATATTGATAACAAAGAAAGAAGAGCCTCCATGGATGCCTATAAAAGAGGCATGATTTTAGAGAGCAAAATGTGAAAAGTTTTGTGAGAATGTGAAAAGAGTAGAGAGAAAGAGAGAGCTGCAATGGCAGCAGCCTTGCTGCCATTGCAGTAGCTGCAAGTGCAGCAAAGAGAGCTAGGAGTAGAGTAGAGAGAAGTGATCTTTCTCCTCCATGCATTTGTTTTGTATTTTTTCTCTAATTTCTAATAATATAGACTCTCTTCCGTGGATGTAGGCGGTTTTGCTGAACCACGTAAATATCATGTCAGTGTGCTTGACCCTTTTATAAGTAAATATCAGTATATCACCGGTCGGAATTCCTAACAGCTTAATCCAACAATTCACCTTCATTTCTGGTTGGAGCACGTATGGGAAACTCGCATGTCCATACTACATGGACCTAGAAACATAAGTCAGGTTAGTTGAATAAAGTGGCTGATGAACTAAGCTGGAGGGTGTCTCTACTCATCACACCCTGCGGGTTGAAGTCATAGGCTTCAAATGTCTTAAAGAATTATATGCAGAAGATGAGGATTTCAGAAATATCTGGAGTAAGTGTTAGCAAGGTCTATCTTATGAAGGAATGCATATTCACGAGGGATACTTGTTTCGGGGCAATCAATTATATACACCTAAATGGTCGTTAAGGGAGCAAATAATCCATAAACTGCACAGGGGCTGCTTGGGGGGACATCTAGGATGGGATAAAACCGTGGCTCTTGTAGAAGAACGATACTACTAGCCCCAACTGAAGTGCGACATTGGAAGCCATGTAAAACAATGTCCAACATGCCAAGCAGTCGAGGGTCAAACACATAACATAGGTCTATACTTGCCCTTACCTATACTAGCAGCTCCTTAGGAGGATTTTTCAATGGATTTCTTCCTAGGACTTCCACGAACACAGTGGGGTGTCGACTTAGTCATTGTGATGGTAGACAAGTACGGTGGTGGATAGGTACTTCAAAATGACCCACTTTATTGCCTGCAAAAAGACTTCTAATGCTATGCATGTAGCTAATTTATTCTTTAAGGAAGTTGTTTGTCTACACGGGGTCCATAAATCTATCACCTCAGATTGGAACACTAAATTTTTAAGCCATTTTTGGAGAACCTTATGACAGCAGTTTGACATAACACTTAACTTTAGCAGCACCAGCCACCCTCAAACTGATGGGCAAACAGAGCTAGTAAACAACACTCTGGGCAACTTAATCCGCTGCCTATCTGGGGAGAAGCCTAAACAATGGGACCTTACGTTGGCTCAAGCCGAGTTTGCTTACAATAGCATGCTAAACAGATCAACTTGGAAGACACCATTCCAAGTGGAATACTGCCAGCCCCCAAGTCATGCATTAGATTTAGTGCCTCTACCAAAGCTTCCAGGAATGAGTATTGCAGTAAAGCATATGACTGATCGAATTAAAGCCATTCAGGAAGAGTGCATAAGAAACTGTAAGCGTCTAATGCCAAATACAAAGCAGCTGCAGACTGGAAACGACGACGAAGCGTCTAATGCCACAAAGCAGCTGCAGACTGGAAACGACGACTTAAATTATTCAAGGTAGGAGATCTTGTAATGGTATATCTATGTAAAGGGCGGTTGCCAATGGGAACATTTAACAAATTAAGAGACAAAAAGTATGGCCCCTATTAGATTCTACAGAAGATTAAGGATAACGCATATCAGGTAGACCTCCCTGCAGAAATGGCAATATCTTATACTTTCAACGTTGTTGACCTGTTCGAGTATCATCCACCTGTCGAGTCATCCTCCAATCTAACCAACTCGAGGGCGAGTTCTTTTAAAGCAGAGGATACTGATGCAGGACAGCTTGTTGCGGTTACAGTACAGCTCAAGGATGCAGACGAAGAAGTTGCCATGAACTGAATTACAGCTTGCTGGAATTACTACCATGCACGAATTGCCAGTTGCACTTTCCTTATTAAACATAGATTCTTAGTTGGGCTCCTAGGTACCTCTATTATTTATGTTATTGTTTAAAACATGAATTAAGGACATAAGTCCTACTTTGTGAGGGATTTTCCTGTTAACTCTTATTTCCCAGTTTAATTCTGTAAGTAATTATTTGAGTATAAAGGTTGACAGCTTATAAATACAAGCAGTCATTCACTTAGAATGACACTTTTAATTTTGAATAAGAATTTTCATTCAAAAATATTAATCTATTACTCGTGAATTTGAGTGTTTTATTTCTTACTCGTAGACTCCAATAAAATTAGAAAAAAAGGACGGTGATCCTTTTTCATTGTTAGACTTCCGCTGCGGCATCCAGTTGACCACCTAAGATCTTAAATCTATCGCAGTAGCAGCAGCGGCTAGGGGGAGAAATAAACCCGACGGCAGGAGAAGAAAGAAAATGATGTGTTGTATCGCCTCATTAATTCAGTCATTTGCAGGTTATAAATGGCGCATAAAAAGCACGCGCTAGCTATTCTAAGCCAGTCAACTTACAGCGCGCGAATGCACACACTCCACGTGGTCCAGATTAATTTCCAACGATTTTTGGTGTTTTTTACCATTTTGTCAATTTTGAATAAATACTTTTATTATTTTTGAATTTAAATTCATGTATATTAATTATTTTTTTTATATTTTAAAAATCCAATTTTTTTTATAGTGATATTCTCATATAATAAAAAAAAATATGAAAAAATTAATAAAACATAATTCAAAAACCAATTCTCACTAAATTCTGTAGAGCTAATAGTTAGGTATGAAACCCAACTTGCATCATCAATATGGGTTCATTGCTCACTTTTTATCATCTATGCAAGTTCAACACTTACTTCAAACACATGAACTTAATTGACATGTGTCTTGTTAAAATGATTTATATTTAAATTTTAAAATTATATATGGGTTGCATTCACTTTTAGAAATTAAAAATTCATTTTTAGGATAACTGATCACAATAAAAAAGATAAATTTAGAAGAAAATATGAAGTAAATGAATTTTTTAATTAAAAAAATATTTTAAAGGTGACATTATTCTTTTCTTAAACATAATAAACTTCTTATTTGAATCTCTAAAATTAATATTTATTTTTAAAATTTCTATTTTTTTTTAATTATTAAATAACAACTCTAATTTTTCATGATATATAATTTTAGTCTTTGCCATGATCTCATCGAGATGTGATAAGATTTAAATTTTCAAAGGAGATTCTACATGTTGTTTTGCTACTGAAACCCACTTTGTGAATTATCAAGCGTTAAATCTTCTGAGATTAGATTCAAAAAATGTTATTAGGGTTGATTTTGATATTTTTATTGGATTTAATGTTTTGTTTAATATTTTATATTATTTTTTTATGTTTTAGAATTTTGATTTTGTTTTCTATTATAAGTCGGATTTTATATCTTATAAAAAATATTATAAACCTTTTGGAGGTAGATTTGGTCAGATTAACTTTGCATAAATAAAATAAGATTTTAAAATTATTTGTAGCCTATCTTTCTACTTGATATGCTTCCGTCTGCATCACGTTCTTCTAGAAATTTCGAAGTAGGAACAAGCTTTTTCTTCTTTTTTGACTTAACGCACTAAAGTGTTTGATTGGTGGCTTTCGTGACATGAGACAGGATCTTTCTTTAAGAATTGGCAATGCTTCTTTTGCTAGGCTATTGGAAAAAATCTATGAGAGGATTTTATGTCAAACTGTAAGATTGTATGAGAACTTTTGATTTGAAATATCTCATTGTCAATAATAATAATCTCTCATGGAAAATAACAAAAACACGGTTACTTAAATAGGAGCTTAACCTGATCTATCTAGAAAATATAAATCAAATAAATTTTTAAAATCTAACTAGGAAAGAAATCTAAAATTAACCAGGAAAATTAAAAAAAAAGAAGAAAATTCTAAACAGAAACTTCTGAGCTGAATTTGGACAGTTCTTGACCTTGGCTGACTAGTCTAGCCAGCCAACCTCCATACGTAACAGTAGAACACTCTTGTAGAATTTTTTCATGATCTAATGGTCAAATAAAAATTTATGTCCTCTTTCAGCGGAAAACTTGTTTAATGCATCCGGATTTCTTCTTGGATAAAACTTGTTGATATGCGTCCGTGTCACACTGTGCAATATAATTAGGCTTTGTTGAGATCTTCAGCCCGATGATCCCCAGAAAGGCTTAATTCGTCTTTTGCGAGCAAAATCTGATCTTAAAAAGCCAAGTGTCTTGTTGAGAAATTTGATTAGCTGCTGCTTTCCACCATTCATTCTTGTTACAAGAAAAAACGAAGAGTTGCTCCACAATCACCGTGGTAATACGTTAGAAAGAGTGACCTCGTTAACAGAACAAACTCTCTGATTTGATGATGTAGTTTCTTCCGCAACAACTCGACCAACAGAAAATGCAGGTTTTGAAGGGATAGGAATTTTCAAGTTATCACCTGCCAACATAACAACAACTGATGACATTGTTGGTCTGTCTACTGGGTCTTCTTGCACGCACAACAACCCAATGTGGATGCATTTCAGCACCTCAGTCGCTACACTTGACTTCTCTAGTAATGAGTCCATCAACTCCAGTCCTTTACCTTCAGACCACAGCTTCCATGCCTGAAATATTAAAAATGTCCTGAATTAATATTAGACTCTTCTTTGATAGACATAGTAGAGTAATATCTTTTCTATGGACGAAATGCAAGGATAGGAGCATACGAAATTGAGGAGGCTTTTCCCTTCTTCCGAAAGATGAAACCCACCATTCCTTTTCCCGCTAATTATCTCTAACATGAGAACTCCGAAACTGAATACGTCTGATTTTACAGAAGATAGCCCTTCCATGGCATATTCAGGAGCCATATATCCACTGTTAAATCCAAATATAATAACAAAAAAATCAATTTAGAGGCATGTGAATGTTGTGAAGGTTTTGTGCAATGCTTGGAATATTCACCAAGTGTGATCTTTTTTCCTGGAAAGCAATGAATTAATTGTTCACAGAATATGTTCAAAGTTATGGCGCCTATCTTTAATGAAGCTATATATATATAAGGAGAAAAGACTACAATCCATTGGTACTAAAAGAACAACTAAGCATGAAAGAGGAGTCTGATGAGAAGCATTCGTAATATATTTGAAGTTTAGACCGGTAGGGTTGGGAGAGGCCGTTGGACACAATGGAGAGTAATACTTACTATGTTCCAACAATTCTGTTCGTATTAGCCTCACTATGATTTCCACTGAAAATCCTTGCCATTCCGAAGTCTGATATCTTTGGATTCGTCTCATAATCAAGCAAGATGTTGCTGGCCTTGAGGTCCCTGTGAATAATTCTGAGACGTGAATCTTCGTGCAAATACAAGAGCCCCCGAGCTATTCCGTTTATAATGCTTAGCCGTCTTTGCCAATCAAGTTGCACACGCATGGTAGAATCTAAGAAACATCGATGGAAAGTTCAATTAGTTAGTTTTTCCACCCTGTTAACAGGTTGTGGTTGCCCATAGACGCAAAAAAATTCAACTACAAGTATTTTTTTTATAAAAAAAAGAATATACAGTATCAGGTTCTTTGAAGTTTTAGAGTCAAACCAAAGAGATAGACATCAAGACTTTTGTTCGGCATGTATTCATAGACAAGCAGCTTTTCATTTTTTTCGAGGCAGCATCCCAAGAGTTTGACAAGGTTTCTGTGTTGTAGTCTTGCAATTAAATTGACTTCATTCATGAACTCCCTTAATCCTTGACCAGAAGTTCTTGAAAGCCTCTTAACTGCGATTTCTTTACCATCTTCCATTACACCCTGAAAGCACATATATTTTCTAAACTAATAAGCAATTAAATATTCGATGAACCAAAAAACAAAAGCGTCATCTCTACATAATAATCAAAAAGCATAGTGAAGATTGAATTATGTTTTCAAAAAACGACTTTTTCTTTTTCAATTTAGTACAGCTACCAACCATATAAATATGGACTTTAGAGCCATGAGTACCTTGTACACCGGGCCAAAACCTCCTTGACCAAGTTTATTTTCATTAGAATATTGATTTGTAGCTTTGAGTACAATATCTAGCTGGATCAAAAGAGAATCGTGGGATTTCACCTCCCCATACATAATTTCATTCGAGTAGTCATCTTCAATTGTCCTTCCTTCCATATCAAGTAATTGAATCACCTGGCTGTTTCGTATTTCCTCTAAGGTGCAGATTACGAAATAATAGTAGTTAGAACAACAACGACGACGATGATTATCAGGAGCATGATTAATAAATAATGGTAGACTTTTTTTTTACCTCTTTTCTTCCTTCTCCACATGGTGTAAGCGAAAGAACTGAACAGTAGGACCCCGACAATTGTAGATAGAGTTGCACCGATTACAATCCAAATTTTTTTGCTACTTCTTTTGTCTCCTGCATAGCAAAAATGTTTTTCTTCAACATCGTTATAGAGAATTGAATGTGTATTGTGCTTTACATGAGGCAAAGACAAATTGCAGTACTAATTCCAACTTTCTGAACTAATTCAATTAGACAAATTCCTAATTCATTTTGTATGAGGCAGTTATACAGGTAGATAATAACCTATTATGATCTCAGGTGCAACATGAAAATCAAGCAGTCCCAACGAAGAAAATGAAACTCTTACCTTGGGGTACAGGTGATGGTGCCAAGGCTGCAGCCTCGACATAAGTTTCATTGTAATTTATATACATTTCAAAATTAACAAGACAACTCGGAAACATGATTCTTCCTCCTTGCTTTTCATTACAACAAATTTCCAACCCAGAATAAGCTGCTAGAAGACATTGATGACAATCGCGGCTAGATAGATCTGGTGTGCACTGCACCAAGACGTACAGATTGTCGTCCGTTGTATAATTAGCTTTTGTGGCTGCAAACTTCTTAGCACCTGCTGGCATATTTGCTGCCCGATAAACTGCAGTGCCTATAGTGTCCACAAGTATCCGATTAAAATCTGTAGGGACAGCTAGATTTTTTTCATTCCACAACGTGTAATTAGGGTCTCTTTCCATGGTGGAGAACATGATCTTGTTTGAGTAACGCAGGAAGCACTCATCATACCATATGAGAGCCACCCTTTGGGTTGGACAATGTCGTTGAACTATATCACTGGTGGCATTGGCCACGCAATTTTGGCAGACGTCAGTGCTAAGATCACCACGACAGAAAAAGAGGCCGTAGACATCATCAGGTTCCAGGCCCGCAGAGGCATTGAAGAATCCAATACTGTTGCTGGTGGCATTAGAGGCAAGTGATGAGAGAAGAGTATTTAAATTGTCCTTGTAGGTTGTTGTGGAAGTGGTTGTGTTGTCGCAAAAATGATGGAGGTAATTGGGGTTATTGAGGTTCTGTGCTTTAGTAATGATACAGAGGGTAAGCAAGTATAGGAGGATTGTATTGGGGAGTTTGATCGGAGAATTCATTCTAGCGACCAAGTGTTCTTTCAGCTACCTTAGGAAAAATGTATTTTTTGAACAAAGTTTTCCCTTTCCACAGGGGAGAATATATAATATGGTTGCAAGGGTTATCTAATTCCAAGCCATTTACCGACACTTCAAGTGGTATGTCGGCTTAATGCTATATCTCTGAAAAAAAACATATATCTCTTTAAAAAAACATCCACTTTCAATCATTGACGCAAACAACAGCAACAAGCAATGTACCGAGTCAAACAACGTGTGTTTCGGTACAGACCAAAGCACCCCAGCAAGCAATAATATGAAAGGACGGCAGAAATGATGTAACATTGAAATTAAGTATATCAAATAGAGAGTCAATCGATGTTTTTGTACAGAAGTGATGTATAAGAAGGGAAATTAAGGGTTCTGATTCGCTGGTTGTTGTAAGAATTTGCCTGATGCGCGACGGACAGGCCATCAATGATGTCCCATTCAAATTTGTGTAATATTGAAATATTAAACTAATCGGGCTTGCCAAATTGCTTTTGAGACTGTTGATGGGACTCTTCACTTTGCTTTAATATATCACAAATATACACATTAAAAAAAAAGGCAATCAATAGAACATGAAAAGGGATAAAGGATTAAATTACAAATGGATTGCCTCATCAAGAGTAAAATGTGATTCCTGCAATTGAGCCCCAGTATGAAGGGGAGAAAAGATCTCTATTATTGAAGTGCGTGCAAAATCATCAAATCCTTACTATTTGAACAAGAGGAAACCTCTTTGAAAAACTATTTAAACACTTATTCTAACCCACGATTGACTTTCAGAAACAAACATCTTCCTTTGAAGTAAAACTCATTTCTTTGTTTTCTGGAATAAATAATACAGCCAGCTTACACTGTTTGCTTAAAAGTCTTTAGTGTTATCACGATGGCATTACATTATTAAATTGATTTTTTAATATTTAATAATTAAAAAATTCAAAATATTAAAATTCAAAATATTTTTTTATTGGTTCAATTGCCCTTTTTTCCATCAAAACCATTTTCATTAAGCAATATAAATCAAATGATGTCAACTAGAGTAAAAAATAAGTTTTATACTATTTCAGGTTAAAATAATAATTGTTTTATCAAAATCATGTTGGCAAAATACAAGTTTATTCATGTTTATGAGATAAAAATTGATTTTTTAGTTATTTTTTATCAAATCATTATTTTTTATTAATTTTTAATCCAATAAGTTGATATCGATAAAAAAAAATATTTTTTAATGTTTGGAATTAATGTTTTGGAAATCAAAAATTGATTTTTAGTAACTGAAACAGACTTTTTCTAATGATGATTTAAGTTTTTAGTTATATATATATATAAAGAATTTTTTTCAACGGATCAGACAAAAACAATTTCTTCGCAGTAGCTACGTGTCTCTTGTCTTGTTTCTTGGAATGATTAGAACGGATCAGACAAAAAAAATTTCTTCGCAGTAGCTACGTGTCCCTTGTCTTGTTTCTTGGAATGATTAGGAGCTTACAAAAACGAATGGGACTCTAAGGAAGATCAAGGAACCAAACTATCAGCCTACTTTGATTAATGCCTACAAATTATAGCCTAATAATTTTTAGGTGTGTTGAAACTTGGAAGAGCACGCTGAGAATTGTTTGCTGTTTGCAAATTTGTGGTTGTTGCTGATGATTTCTTCATAAATCTCGTCTCTTAAATTCAATTCACTTCTTGCAACTGACCTGTAAACTGCTCCTGCACAATGTCATCTTTCATGGCCACGATTTATAACTCCTCTGAAGAATTTGAAATACCAGTTCAACATGTGTATTTTGAGATTGCTAAGATGGAAACTGCCCTGGATTTTCATCAATTCTAGATTGTTGACACTTCTGTGACTATAGATTCTAGACTCTGATTTGCTTATTGATGCCTGCCTTTGTTGACAAATTCTAAAATACGGGAAGCTTTTTCTGGATTATTTTCTGTGTGTAACAGAACCAAAATATTGTCGAGGGATGGATTTAACCACATCTTACGAGAAGAGGGACCAAAATTGATTTTTTCCACCATATTCTGGGCTTTCATCTATTAGGCCCAAATCATAGTACGTTCTAGGTATGTATTTTAAGCCTTTTGCCGGGCTTTCATATCAAGAAAAAGGTGATCAACGAGAGCAATATCATATCAGAGATTGGAATTAGATAAACAAAAGGGGTGGGATACTTGATTTGTTAATAAAATCAAACTTACCGATATAAATTGATATTAATACAATAAAAACGAGGAAATTAAACTCACAACTAAAGATTTTTTAATATAACACATCTCTCTTGAAGATAAAGAGTGCATTTACAAGTTTTGTTTTTTTATTTTTTTTCATCTGAAAAATATTTTTTAATAATTTTAATATGTTTATATAAAAAAATAAAAAAATTTAAAAAAAATATTATTTTAATATACTCTCTATAAAAAAAACTTTTTTTAAAAAATTATTTTATCCAATACACATAAATAAAAAATAAAAAAAAAAAACACAACCAGAAGAAAGGACACCAAACCATTCTAGATAAAAACCCACTGAAAACAAATCAAAGAATCTCATAACAACATCCAAGCATCACAGAACCAAGAGCACCCGCATCACGTCACATAAACAACTCCACCCTTACACCTCACCTTCACCTCAATCATTAATACACAAACATTTATTAAATCTCATGCATTACATAAGTTTAGGATTTATCTTCTTTTTTAGAGTTTTGAGAGATTTTTTTTAAAGCTTCTATGAAGTTATCTTAATTATTGATAGATTTAAATAAAATAAACTAAAAAAATTCTTAAAATAAAGCTAAAAAAATTCTTTAAAAAATAAAAAAACTAAAAAAACATTCAAAAAACATGAGCTTGAATATGGTAACCTTAGCCCAACTCCTAAGAAGCATTGACACACGGACTCTCAATGCATGGACTTCATGCAATGCATTAAGCATCCGCTAGTGCATGTACACCCAATGCAACTCTCAGTGTAGTGCATGGACATCATGCAATGCATTGAGCATCCGCTAGTGCATGTACACCCAATGCACCCCATTAGGCGTATGCACAACACCAAATTTGCTGGGCATGCACTCTAGTGCTCTTATAAGGTCAAGCAGTCATGCCCTAACCTAGCATATTTGGGTCTCAATAGTGCACTCAGATCTCTTTAATGGGCTTTGGCAACTTACCCGAGATCTCAATAGTGCACCCAGATCCACTTTCATCTTTAATGGGCTTTGGCAACTTACCCGAGCTCAACATTCGCCAAAGAATTTTTTCCAAACCCCACGTGGGTACCTTATCACTACAAGATTTAACAGTTTTACCGACGGAAATATTCTGTTGGTGTGTGATTAGAAGTTCATCGGTGATATTTTTACCGACGCACTCACCGACGGATTACATCTGTCAAGTTACCTTTCGTCGGTGATTCAACATTCTGTCGTTATATCGGTCAGAAAAACAAAAAAAACCATTTCACGATGGTTTTACAAACGGAATTTGCGCGCAAAAAAAAAAGATTCCCACCATGATGGTTTCACAAACGGAATTTGCACGCAAAAAAAAAAAGATTCCCGCTTGAATTAACCGACAGATTTGTATTCCGTCGGTGATATCGTGATTTATCGATGGAAACTAACCGTCGGTAGGGCTGTCGGTGGGTGTATGAAATACCGACCGAATACATCCGTCTGTAAATTCATCGGTAAATGTGACAGCTATTGTCAAATTCCGACGGAGTTTGTCCAACGGTAAGTCGGTCGGTGAGTGTATGAAATACCGAACGAATATATCTGTTTGTAAACTAGTCGGTAAGTGTGGCAGCCACTGTTAAATGCCGACGGAGTAATTCCGTCGGCAATGCGGTCGGTGAGTGTATAAAATCATTGGTAATTTTTTTTTTCTAAATTTTTTTTTGAAAAATTATTTAGGATATATAATATAAAACTATGTAAATTAATTGTAATACAAATCAATTATGCAAATAAAATTTATATTAAAGAAAAAAAAAACAAAGTTAAATAATATTCATTACAAACTGAATATGTTTCAAAAAAAATATTAAATGAAGTTTTAATGTTAAATAATGTTTATTACAAATTAATATAAAGGTGGAGCTGGAGGAGGAGGAGGGGATCTTGGAGGAGGCTGGTGGTTATATGGCCAAAAAGGATTAGGCGCACATGTTCCACTATTTGCCATGTTCATAACCATTTTGCAGAGCTGTTCGTAAGCCGTTTTTGTTGTTCATACTCCGCTTTTTGTTGAGTGATTATACGGCCAAAAAGGATTAGGCACATATGTTCCACTATTTGCCATGTTTATAACTATTTCGCTGAGCTGTTCGTAAGCCGCTTTTTGTTGTTCATACTCCGCTTTTTATTGTTCATACTTCATTTTTTGTTGCTCATACTCCGCTTTTTGTTGCTCTTGAGACGTTTTGAGGTGCACGTACTCCGCTGATAGGTGGTCATATTTCTCGGTGAGCTAAGCCGTGTGTTGCTGCAAGGCCT